AGGCAGTGGAGGAGAAAAACCTGGCAGAGATATATTACATATAAAGCTTTGTGACCCGCAAGGGTCGAATGTGGAAGGTGAGGGGGCACTTTGGCTATTTTGAGGGGAGTCACATCAAGATTATCACGAAGAGCACAATTGCAGCATGGAGTGAAGTCATTGAACACTTTTATTATTTTGCACATCGTGGTATCACAAATATTTTTGAATTGATTTTTATTTAATTGATTTTATTTAATTGGATATATGTATCACTTTGCACAGTTCCAGAGGCATTAGTTGTTTATCACTATACCACCAGGGGGCGTATAATTTGTAAATGCGGATGTTGCACTAGATATTTTGTATAGATTGATTATTTAGTTTGTATATTTGGAATAATTTATTATTATTTTGGCAGGAGATCATTTTCACTTTTATATAAGTTGAGCGCTTCACCATAAATATAATTTGTTTGCACATATCTTGAGGTATTAAGAATAGGTGATAGCAGCTAACTTTTGGTTACTAGGTTCTGTGGAGCGCAGGGGGATTTTTGTATTTTTAAATCCTCTGGAGGGCAAGTGGTTAAAATATATTTGCATATATGCTGCCACGATTAGCTAGATATGTCTTTTAAATAACATCCTCAGAAGTGGGAAGCTGCAAGGAGTCTGAAGTATTGCATGACCGGACAAGACACAGAGCTGTAGCACAATGTGGCTTTGCGATACGCCAAGGAAAAAAATCAGGCATGATATGACCTGTGGTCACAAGGCCCGGGTGAGTGTTAATCATAAAAGTGGTGGAGGTCATTGAGCTCCTTTGAACTAGATTATAGTGAATACACTTTAGGTTTGAAAGTGACTGGGTGGCTGCCAGAGCAAGGATAATAGAGGTGGAGAGCGCAGCACTTCATAAAGAGTCTATATCAGGTGTCAATGAAGAAAAGACAAGGATGATAACCCTGGAGACTGCACCTTCAAAGTCAGCAAGAATAGTTCCCAGATTTCTGTTTTAGTATACTGAAGCTGAAGATTAATCTGCTTAACCCTTCTATTGCTATGGATGTAGGGATTATGTTGGGACAAACCTGCTTGCAGCTGGCCAGTTTAGTAATCCTTATACCCAAGGCAGTAAGTTTATTGAGTGGTCCTCTCTAAAGTTTGAGCAATGTTTTCTTCAGTACTGGGAGGTAGCACTACATAATGTGAGTTTTTCATGTTTTATTGGTTTTAAATAAAATATATGTTGCACAGTGAATGTCTGCATCCTTTTCTATATTATAATGGTCAGATGGAGGGTGGTGTGTGGAGCCTTTGACTGCACTGGCTTCTGAGGTTTCAAGGCATATCAACAGGTTATTATACAACATGCTTTGTTTTACCATCTTATTCAGTGAAGTGGTCAAGTTTAGAAGGTAAGCTGAATTCCGATTGGTGCGCCCTGAAAGGATTGATGGGATTTCACCGAGAAACTTGTTTTAAGCACATTACTGTGGTGGGAAAATTGCTGCCACTATTATTTTGGTGGACATTTTTTAAAAAATTTTTGTTGTACGTGTTTCTTGAAGAATTAGGATATTATGCATTATTGCATTATATTGTTTGCCATTGTTTTTATGGAATGGACTTTTGATTTTTTTTCACATGAGGAAATATATTTGGCTAGAGGCTATGTACTGATTTGAACTTTATTGTGCTTTATGCACTTTATATTTAGTGGTAGGTATAGGAATTATATTTTGTATTGAATATATATATTTTTTTATGATTGGATTACACTTGTTATATAGGGATTGTAATATATTTTTTAGAGAGTAGACTTTATTTATAGTGTTGCCATTTTTGGTGTTGTTACAGTGCGGAACAGAAGTATTTGAACACCCTGCGATTTCTCCCACTGCAAGTTCTCCCACTTAGAAATCATGGAGGGGATCTGAAATTCACATTGTAGGTGCATTCCCACTCTGAGAGACAGAATTTAAAAAAAACATTCAGGAAATCACATTGTATGATTTGTAAAGAATTTATTTGTCTTGCACTGCTGAACGTAAGTATTTGAACACCTGAGAAAATCAGTGTTAATATTTGGTACAGAAGCCTTTGTTTGCAATTACAGAGGTCAAACGTTTCCTGTAGTTCTTGACCAGGTTTGCACACACTGCAACAGGGATTTTGGCCCACTCCTCCACACAGATCTCCTCTAGATCTGTCAGGTTTCGGGGCTGTTGCTGAGCAACACAGAGTTTCAGCTCCCTCCAAAGATGTTCTATTGGATTTAGGTCTGGAGACTGGCTAGGCCACTCCAGAACCTTGATATGCTTCTTACGGAGCAACTCCTTGGTTATCCTGGCTGTGTGCTTCGGGTCGTTGCCATGTTGGAAGACCCAGCCATGACCCATCTTCAATGCTCTGACTGAGGGAAGGAGGTTGTTGCTCAAAATCTCACAATAAATGGCACCATTCATCCTCTCCTTAATACAGTACAGTCGTCCTGTCCCCTTTGCAGAAAAGCACCCCCAAAGCATGATGTTACCACCCCCTTGCTTCACAGTAGGGATGGTGTTCATGGGATGCAACTCATCCTTCTTTTTCCTCCTAACACGACGAGTGAAGTTTAGACCAAAAAATTCTACTTTGGTCTCATCTGACCACATGACTTTCTCCCATGCCTCCTCTGGATCATCGAGATGGTCATTGGCAAACTTCAGACGGGCCTGGACATGTGATGACTTGAGCAGGGAAACCTTCCATGCAATGCATGATTTGAAACCATGACGGCGTAGTGTTCTACCGACAGTGACCTTTGAAACTGTGGTCCCAGCTCTCTTCATGTCATTGACCAGCTCCTTCCTTTGTAGTTCTGGGCTGATTCCTCACCTTTCTTATCATCAGTGATACCCCACGAGGTGAGATCTTGCATGGAGCCCCAGTCGGAGGGAGACTGACAGTTGTCTTTAGCCTCTTCCATTTTCTAACAATCGCTCCAACAGTTGATCTATTTTCACCAAGCTGCTTGGCAATTGCCCATAGCCCTTTCCAGCCTTGTGGAGGTCCACAATTTTGTCTCTGGTGTCTTTTGACAGCTCTTTGGTCTTGCCCATGGTAGTAGTTGGCGTCTGACTGACTGTAGGGTGGACAGGTGTCTTTAAAGAGTGGTGCTACTAAGTTAGATTAATGAGTGGAGTAGAGGTGGACTTTTTAAAGGCACAGTAACAGGTCTGTGAGAGCCAGAATTCTTGCTGTTTCTTAGGTGTTCAAATACTTATGTTCAGCAGTGCAAGACAAATAAATTCTTTAAAAATCATACAATGTGATCTCCTGAATTTTTTTTTAAATTCTGTCTCTCAGAGTGGGAATGCACCTACAATGTGAATTTCAGACCCCTCCATGATTTCTAAGTGGGAGAACTTGCAAAATTGCAGGGTGTTCAAATACTTCTGTTCCTCACTGTATATGAATGAATGTGATTGGCACAACCCACCAATTACTTCAGTTCATTATATTCACATCGTTCCACCATGTGGGAGAATGCAAAAAACTTTATGAATGGATGTGATTACATTCCAGTGAAAGGCTGTGGTGGCATGGGAGAGTGGTAAGACCTGTAAACATCTATAATATTTACTCTACTATTTACTGATTTTTTTGCAGAGTAAAATTGAATTGGAAATGCTCATTCATGAGCACTTTCGAGTTCACTACTGGATGCTGGTCGCAGAAGGAGACTGGGGGCTCTGTTTCCTAAGCTTCTTTCTCCAGCACAAAGAGAAGACATCATTAGAGACTCATTAAAGCAGTAGTAAAGTCCCTAATTTAACTTGCGCCTACAGGCAAGCTTACAATCAGACTTACCTGTAGGTACAATGAATATCTCCTAGACCTGCACCGTTTAGGAGATATTCACATCGGCAATAGCCGATGACATCACCTGCGCAATGCGCAGGGATGTTCTCCATTTAGGTCACACAGTGACGTCATCAGGGAATAGGCCACTCAGATGGCTGGAGCCCACAAACCCGGAAGGAAGACCGGGTGAAGATGGAGGTGCTGAGGGAGCCATGACAGTACTGTTCTGGAGAGCTCTGTGTGCAGGTAAGTGTGTCATAACTCATAGGCTTTTTTGAGTTTGGGCAAGGACACAGGGGCCCCATGATCCCCTATTGCCCGGGGGCCCCATGAGTTGTCAGTCCGCCCCTGGTCATAATGTGACAGTATGCGGTGCATACTACTACATTATGGCTTAGATCTGCAGAGGACCCAATTTTTTTTTCGGCTTTAAAGAGGATCCTAATGGCAGTACTTAAGTAACAGAAATATACACGAACACCTCCACCACTATACACACAATTGTTGCAATGTATTGTGGTGCCTTATTGCACATTGCATCACATAAGCCCATTCATTTTAAATGGGCTGCCAAAACACCCCAAAGCAGGCAAACAGTACAGGAGCAATTTACATATTTGCAGCATGTTAACACACTTTTTGCTGTGTGTTAACATGTGTTGTGTTGAGGCTGCACTATAACCCAGATGCGTTGTCCTTGAGCATAGTGAATAACACTGCACCTCACTGCACTGCAGATTGTGATTTACCTCAACGCAAAGCTGCAATCCTCATAGTTTTTACCTTAACTCGTTACTACTGGCAGTCCTTTACGGTGTTCTTAACCTTGAAGGTTTTTCTTGGGCTTCTTGATCATCTAAACACTGTGATTGGCTTTCATAGTGATCACATGACTGGTAGCCCATTCTGCTGTCTTCAGAATTAAACAGAGATTGGGAACTGGTAGTGTCAGCTTAGTCATAGTGCTGGGGGGTGAACAACTACAGTAAGTGCACTCCCAGCCAGGGGCGGACTGAACATTTGGAAACTTGGGCAGTGCCCGAGGGCCTGGGGTCAGTAGGGGGCCCCATGATATGCCCCTGGTACCTTTTTCATAGGCTTTTTTGAGTTTGGGCAAGGACACAGGGGCCCCATGATCCCCTATTGCCCGGGGGCCCCATGAGTTGTCAGTCCGCCCCTGCTCCCAGCACAAAATATTAGAGACCCTGTGATGTCATTAGGGGGTCTCTGTGCTTCTCTATGTAATGTAGGAAGATTATATCTGGTGGGAAGGGCCAGCAGAGTACATAGTCTCCTGAAACTCTTCTCAAGAGCCCTCAGCCCTGCTGCAAGCAATAGACTGACTTTTGGGAAATGTTATACAATTATATCACTCCTAGATTGTAAGCTCCAAGGAGCAGGGCCCTCCTATCCCTCTTGTATTGAACTGTATTGTTGCTGTATTGTCTCCCATTATGTTGTAAAGCACTGAGCAAACTGTTGGCGCTATATAAATCCTGTATAATAACAATAATAATCAAAACGCCTCGATGAGCGGATGTCAGTCTAGGGGAGTAGGCAGACTGCAGTTGCATACTCCTATAGGTGATGCTGAGCCTCCATCATTGAAGAACTGACATTCAATAAATGAAATGGGCAGGTCAAGGCCCGAGACTTAGCATACCTCCCAACTTTTTTACATGGGAATGAGGGACACCTATTATCAAATGTATGTAGGCATAGCACACACCCCTGCCATGCCCCCTTAAACTGGATTTATAAAAAAAATATATAGTTAAACCCACAAGTGCTTTTTTTTTTGCCACTACTATTTCTTTATACTGGCTTTTGATGTTTTCAAATGCAGCAATTTAGAAATTGGATGACAGGTTTAGCACTGGGAAACAATTTCTGAAAGATAAAAAGTGCATTTTATATACAACTATATAGATCAGACCAAAATGAGGAACAAATTAGGAGGAAAAAGGGATAAAGGGACTTTTTTCAAATCAGGGACAGTCCCTCGAAATCAGAAACAGTTGGGAGGTATGTGTTAGGCTGAAGAGGAAAGGGTAGATGATGCTGGGTGTACTTCAGACAGTAAAGCTTCTAATGTACACTGTAAGAAAGCTCACAATGTGCAGTGAAATCAGTAAGAGCATTTTCAGTACAGGAGAGGAGGCTGTGAGACCCAAAATAAGTCTGGAATTTCACATTTGCCCATGGTGGGCTTTGATTGTAATTCACAACATGCTCTTTCTTCCACTTACATTTCTAGTTGAATTCTTACATCCCTGCACATGATAAGCTGCACAATGTCCTTATAAAAAGACATCTTTCCGGTGGAAAAATATGCATCCAAAACAATTAATCACCAAAAAAAAAAGATCTATACATCTGAATTGATGATCACCCAATGCCATTTAACTCTAATTTATTTATTTATGTGGGCATTACAAGTACATTTTCTTGATTTTATTTATGGAGCGTTATGAAATTTAAACAATTCTTCCTAGCACAGCCAGATGTTGCCATGTCATATCTTGCATAATATTTAGAAAACCTCTGGCCATGGATTGCATGCAACTGGCATCTAAGCAATTGAATCATCCCTGCAATCATTACTGTTCCTTGCTCAATATGTCCATGTTATAAAGAAAACAGATGAATGTCAGTAAATTACATCCTTGTAATAAACCACAAACACAATTACATTTTTTTTAAGTAATTCTTAGTGATAGGCAATCCTTTTAGAATGTGTATTGGCTCTGCTTTGGACCCCTTAGATTGTAGAATGGCCTACTGGGGGCTTTTCTAAGATTTAATTGGATATTTGTTGGGGTAGAGCAAGGGAAATGTATATGATTTAATTTCTCCAACATGTAGAAGAGTGTGCTGAGATATATTAAAGGGGAAAGAGAATCTTTAGGGGGGACTGTTAAATAATATTGATTGGCTAATTTTGATGTATCATTTTAGATAGTGTATTTTTTTGAGGATAGAGTAGGGAATAGTTAAGTTAATGGCTATCTCTGGGGGGGAAAAAATCCCTGTAGTTCAAGGGCATGCTCTTTTACGTCTAGGGTATTGGAAAAAGCAATTTTACGTACTTGATTCTCTGCTACCATTGGGCTCCCTTCACACTACTAGACTGGTTCCCATAGCCTCTTCACTCGGGCAGTTGAAGGTCCTCTGATGTCATCAACTACAACATAGGGTCCATAGCCCTGCACTGGATGTGATGACACTAAGCAACAGTCCATAAGCTGGAGTTTAGGGGAGTAGAGGAATGTGCTGACTGCAGGAAAAGAGGAGGATTAAGTAAGTGAAACTGCTTTTATACCAGACCTAAAGAAGCATTGAACTCTTGCAGTACGGGGCACAGCCATCCTGAGCAGTGTGCTCAAGCTGACCGGGAGGAAGAATGTTTGTAAACAAAACAATCTTCCTCCCCTTCGGTGTTTGTTGGTAATCACCGGGCGCCGGCGGGTAATTACTGGCCGGGACCCGGTGATTGACATTTGAGGCCGCGAATGGGGGCGTGGGAAGGGTGCTCACACGCGGCCCCTACCCAGAAATGCAAAATGACGTATATATACGTGATTCTGCACACAGGTGTCGCCTTGTAGCAGTATATCTACTATAGGGCGGTCCTTAAGCAGTTAAACTAGAACTATAGGCAAATCTTTTTTTATTTTAGATAGAGCAATGGATGGTTATAATCTCTAGATTATTTTTTGTCATATGTGTCCCTATGCGGAGATTTACCTTAATTTCCTATCCCATAGCCAAACAGGAAGTGAGATGAAATTCCTACAAATTAACGAAATTCCTTGAGGACCCCCAGGTCACCAAAAATTAGTGTCCCAATTGGAAGATTTTCCCTCTATTTTCTTTCTTTTTTCTTTTCATTTACTTTCACTTTCAATGATAATGGTAACCAGGACAAATAGAGTGGGTGAATCTCCTTAACGGGAGCACAGACTGCAATAGAAATGACAAGCAATCTAATCTCTTTCCACTTTATCCAAAACTAAGACCCCGTTCATGTCTGCTCCGCGTATGTAGAGCAGACACGGACACAGCTCGCTGTCCTCTGTGGGTGGTTGGATGGAAATGGGCCTCCTGTCCATTTCTATCCAACTGCATCTGATCCAATCCGTCTCTTTCTGGCAGATCGGATTGGATGTTGGCGGGTGTAAATGGACACATGTCCACTTACACCCACCACTCCTTAGAGGAGAATAGAAGTTCCTGAAAAACAGGCATCAAGACACCCATGTGAAAGGGGCCAAAAAAAAAAAAAGTTTTTCCTTTAGTTATACTTTAAGCCCTTAGGGGTTTACATTAATATACAACCAAAGTGTTTTGTTTTTAATATTTGGGTTCTACTCCATTTTATTTCCCAGCTTTACAAAGCCAAATGTAATTTCTGCTCCTGACAAAAGTCATCCCTGCCTAGCTCCCAGCTGTTCTGGATTTGGTTTCTAAATATATGAGCTAGAAGAGATGGACTTTCAGAGGGTGTTGACAAGTTTGAATACTGTGTGTCGGCTGACTTGAAGATGGTATTTATGGCATTAGACACAGGAGACAATCATTTGGCTACAGTATTGGTTACATTAATACATTTACAAAACATTAAAAAATACAGTTCTAGATGGGATTATTTTTAAACTGATGCGATCTCCAGACTGATGACTTCCACCATGAGCTATTTGGATCTCGGAAGTACTCACACCAAACCAGGCATTGCAAGCTTGTTTGCGTTTTTGTAGATTATGGACAGTTATATCATCCAAACTTAAATGTAGGCTTTTATTTTATCTACTTAGAGTCAGGAGGGGATGGCGAGGGGGTGCACATTTTGCCTCTGGGCCAGTACTAATGACATATGTTGAGCTGGTGGCCCATAGTAGAAATACTTTACCATTCAGACATCAGAGAGGGACCTGCAGTCAGTGACAGCTGTAATTTTTCATGTCATATGACCAAATTCTGGGATATGTGTCATAGGAAGTCATGTCCTTTGGGAACACCCTCCATGTCCACCAATCACTGGGGCACCATGGTTCACTTTGTATGGTAAACATGAAAACCCATCTCTTCAGGGAAGCCTACCCCACCCCCTGCTAACTTGCCGACCTCCTCCACTCTTCCTACCACTCCATCCCCCACAGCTATCTCCTCCTGTGCCACCATCCCCTCCCTCCTAGATTGTAAACTCGAAAGAGCAGGGCCCTCGATCCCCTCATGTTTTGCATTCTATTGGTATTGTTCTGTCACATGTTCTGTCCCCCTTTGTAATGTACAGCGCTGAGCGAACTATTGGTGCTTTATAAATACTGTATAATAATAAACGTCCTACCTGCCTGCCTAGCTATTTGGCTATGTCTGCCACCCAGACCAAAGGTTCCCAGTGAAACTTTAATGATCAATATCACATATTGTTTTTATGTTTTGGTAAAACTGAGAAAAGATTAAAAATGGCAATAAATATACTGCAGTAATGGTATAATATGTACTATTAAATTTACATTTGAAAAAGGTAAATCTGCTGAATTGACACTAAACCTGTCCCCATTCTTGCCCCAAGGCTCTTTCTTGGTATTGTAAAAACGTAGTTCTAAGTAATAAAAGTCCTCTGTGAGGCTTCTTTTCTCCCTATACACAACAAGAACATTGTTTCAATGGAAACAAATCAAAAAATTAGTTTACATTAGCTGCAGTAATTCACTATTAACACTTTACAGATGATTTTATTGGAGCCAACACTGGCCCCTAAAATACCAATCCTTTGTAAGTCCAACATTTCCTCTGTCAAGTTAATTTAGTATTAAACCTTAAAGCATTTTTCAGCTTAACACATTAAAGCTGTAATAAACCAAAAAGCAAATATTTATTTTATTGCAACTTACCAACCCTTAGAGCTAATTCACACATGTGCGGTGCAGATTGAATCTCAGGTTTCACAGTTAACTGATACGGTAGTTGTTACAGGTTCATGTCAGGTTTACATCAGGTTCAGGACAGGATTAGCTCAGGATCTTATCTTATCCTGTTCACACATATGTGGTTTAGGAACAGTTCCCATTAAATTTAATATGTGGTTTAGGAACAGTTCCCAGTAAAATCAATAGCCTGTAATCCACACCTGAACCAGACCGCACTGCTCAGAAATCATACATGGCTCTTTTTACAACTGCAGAGAATTCATACTGAATCTTCACCGGCCGTGCACTGGACATATGTGAACAGG